GTCTGGCTTGCATTGGTAGTCGCTACGATGACCATTCATTCGTTTGTGAAACGGCTGTTCTGACTCGCCAACATACTGTTTACCACATTTACACTGTAGGAGATACACAACATTTGTAGTCTTGCAATTTACATTGCAAAATATGGTGTATTCTGTACCAGTGGAGTGACTGTTAAAAGTCTGGGTAACCAGTATTTGTTTGCAAGTCAGACATCGTTTGTTGTAATTAGTCATATAACCTATGTCGTGTTTAACACATATTTAGAATTGTGCAAGCGTCTTACCTGATGTTCGGTTTGACATTTTTATTGTATAAATTTCAAGATTTGTATAGTTTAATCTAAGTAGACTGATATATGATTCATTCAACATCACAATCATATTTACTGATGAAGGATATCTGTTATCCGAAATATTTATAAATAATTACATTTATAGTTCCTTTTTTTGTTATTGGTGTTGTTGTGTACACTTTTTAGGCGTTTATATAATTTATTTATTGTGTACGTGTATCGTTACTCGTAACGATCCAGCGCCCTCGTGGGAAAAATCGTTGACTATTATTCAGACGTTTTATATATATATATATATATATATATATATATATATATATATATACAAGTCTAAATTGAAAACAATGTTCAAACCTATGATTGCGTTGGATAAAAACCGCAATTTTTAGTCGTGTGCATGCAAAACAAATATATAGATACCCTTTTGGCGCTCTCTTCAAAGAAAATCAATAATTAATCAAGGAAAGTTAGTACTGTAGTACTGTAATATCTAGTCATCTGCTGTCATCAGCATGGTAGCGTAATTGACACTGGGTGTCAAGTTTAAAAATAGTATCCCATTATCTATAGACAATAATTACAAAAATATAATGTTGCTGTTTATCCTGCAATCGACCTTTCTACTATACTATTACAGGTGTCAGGCGCGGACCCAGAGCTTAAAGCGGGGGTGGGTGGGGCGGGGGTTGAGAAGTGTTTTTGAACATTATAGAGGTTTTCTTGTTATACCAAACTTTATGTTTTTCAAAATAGGCGCACTTTTTTTTCATCTGGCATATGGTTACTCAAAATAAACTTACTTTTTAGATTGGTTTAATTATTTAATTACAGATCTGATCCACCCGTTTTGCAATTGCTGTATCAGCCCTTGCGTCTATTCCACTAGCCGGCTTATCATGTGTGTGATTAAGGTCTTGTGCTCTTTATAAGGCTGATTGGTGGTAGTGTTTTTTTCGTGAGATTTACATTCACCATTTGCTTTTACCCAATTCTGAACTGATTTCTTAACAAACTATCCGAGGTTGCGGCCAGTAGCGAACAAAATGCAAAATTTGCAGTAAATTCCGTCCTGTGAAGTTGAATAGACAATCCATGGGAAATAGTGCAGTCACGCATATTTGAAACATCTTTTTAACCCGTACAATTCTCGTTTTGGAAAAGGAAAAGAACTTGGTGGGTTTCAGTTTTCATTTAGGATGCTAAAGATTTGAGCACTAGGTACAGATGTGGAAATAGGGTTTGCAATATGCTTAGATTCAGCAGGTATCTGAATTTACCGATTAATTATAGAATATGTTTTAATTGTAACAATAATACAATTGAAGATGATGAGAAACGTGCAATTTATATGTGAAGTTGTAATTTTATGTAAATGTGTTGTAAGACTGGGGTGAGTATTAAATAAGATATTAAAATATAGGGATAGTAGTCTTGGGTTGTCTTAATAAAATCCTTTGATCCTCTAATTATTTCCCCCCAGGCCATGTAATTATGACATTATATTTAACGGAGTGTAGCGACATTGTATCACCCTATTAATTAAGTGCTCACTGGATATTTAATTTATTATAGTAAAGATAACATTAAAATAAGGAAATGATTTATAATACAAAATTATTTTAAGATTTTCAAGCGGGGGGGTTTTCCCGACCCCCCCCCCCCAAACCCCCCTAAATCCGCTAGTGGGTGTACAGATAACACGAAGCGATATACGTATACTAGACGTATATTGTCTCCTGGTATCCTGCTTTTGTTGCGAGCGAACGGTTATGTCAAATTACTGCTTACGTCACAGTTCAATTTGGGGTCCTCATTGCGGTCCGCGTTTAAGTCATGTCGATTTCTTTCAAAAACAAATTCAACGATTGGGATGGTAAAAAAACGTACAAATTTAATTGCAGGATAAAGACAATAACTGTTGAGTGTCTTTAAATATCAGCTGTATCTATACTCGGCTCGAAACAGGAGTAATAGCTCGCTCAAGCTCGCATTACACCTGTTTCTGAGCCTCGTACAGATACAGCTTATATTTAAAGACACTAATTAAACAGTTATTGTCTATGTATACCATTTTTTTTTATTGTTTTGTACAAAAATTAGGCCGTTATTTTTCTCCTTTGAATTGTTTTACATTTGTCACGTCGAGGCCTTTTATATGTTGCTATGTGGTATGGGTTTTGCCATATTCATATTGTTGAAGACGGGTGACATGATAGATGCTATCTTCTACATCATTTGGTCTATGTTGGAAATCAAGGCTGTCTCATTCGGCAATCATACCACATCTTTGTATATCTATATTTAACCATTTCTGATATTTATGTATTTGATTTTCCGCTTTGGATTTTTTTCCGTTTTAGTATTATTAGACGAATACCTTGGACCAGCCAAGTCTTGAGACTCGAAACAACCTGGTACAAGAGATTTTCCTTTTTTTTTTTATCCTTTTCTATATTTACATAGGTAATGAATAACAAAATAAATCCTGGTACAAACAGATATTATGTTTATAACATTTTTTTTTTTTTTATAAAAGTCTGAGACTGTTTAAACACATAGTACAAGTAGTCTAGTTAAAATTGGACAAGGTTGAAAAAGGGACAGGGATTTGACTATGTTCAAAGTCTACAGTTTAAACTTTTGATGAGCATCCGGCTTTGTTTCACTGAGTGTTAACGCATTCAATTCAAAATCCGAGGAAAAGATCCACTTTTCTAATCACAGGAACTTTCGAAACCTCTAGACTGGTAGTAAAAGGGACACCATTTTATGTTTGAAATGTATAGATATAGATCATAGACATTTATGGCCAAAGACGTTTTGGAACATGCACATTTGCTTTCAATCTGCGCTGACTGACATTCGTTTTGAACTAATTTTGTCCCTGGATGTCTATCTTTAAAACAAACAAACAGCTTCCAAACCCGGAATTGATGATATATATATTACTGTTTAACAAAATAACAACTGATAAATTTTTCTAGCTGCATTGTATAAACTTGATTAAACTGACTATAGTGTTTATCAGAGATGTAGTATTAATATTTATTTATTAATGTGATCTATGTCTGTGGTGAAATTTCAGTCATTCCCTTTAGTGACCTTTTGTTCTGCTTTTTTTGCATTGTTATATATACACAGCTGTTTTTAAATGTCATTGCTCAATTACTTTAATCATGAGTTATTTTCGGCAATAAACATCGGAGCGATAAAAAAAGGACGTTTCAGCGCCAAAATATAGCACATTTGAGCGCCAAAATTTTAGGACATTTGAGCGAAAATAAGAAATAAGCATAGGACATTTGTCGCGGGTATGGTCTAGTGTTTACACAAATAAGGAGATGTGGTATGATTGCCAATGAGACAACTATCCACCAAAGTTCAAATGAAGTGGATGTCTTAATTTAAATTTAAAGAAATCAGAAGAAATATAATAATACAAACTATTAGTAGACGCTCTACCACAAGCAAAAAACCCATAACTGTAAAATATAAAGGCATACACATAATTATGTTTACTCTGTCTTAGTCAAAGTCAGTTTATAAGCTGATGCATATGCATAAGATTTGTCGACAGTAGTTCAGTTTGGAATTGCATCAAGTATATCAATGACCTTTTGTAGTGTTTCAACAACCAAACAACCAAGCTTAAGTATTAGTTTGTGATGTTCATCAAGTTTCTTCTGGTTTGCAGGAACCGTTTTCTCCGGTAAAATAGGCATTTCTCTTGATCATGCATCAAATTAAATTCAACAGTGACTTGGCCTTCATCTTCCATTGCATTGTGATTTTACCTATAATTGCCATAATAATAAACAACTGCTGACAATGGCAAAATTTAGGAAGTGTGCCCGACAGTTCAGAAAAATAATACTTCGCATTTGGAAGAACTTGACTAATTCTCGTCCTGACAGTGTCAAGTGTCCAGTATCAAGACGAGAACATGTCAATCTAATTAAAATTAAATCTCCGCACTTGCTCCTCGTTGTTTATATGTCGCGCGACATATAAACAACGAGGAGCAAGTGCGGAGATTTAATTTTAATTAGATTGAGAACATGTTTTTTGTTTCTTTTTCTCACTTTTATTATTTTTATTGGTGGACCTGCAATAGGAGGCAACTGCCTACATGCCTCTACATAATTTACGGCCCTGTTAACGTTATTTTATGATATATTACTGATTGCTTGTCTCCTTGTTGGTACACAAAAATGACATGGAGTGCTTGCCTTGATGGCATTGACCTTTATATCTAACGGTCAATATATATATATGCCAGTTCCTGCTTGGATGTTCAGAAATCAAATATCATGCGCTTTTATTTATTTTTGTATTTCCATGAAGTTGCATGCTTTTTTTTTTATGTTTAAGCGCTCATCAATGCTCTTTTTTTTATTGTTATCGTGCACATTTATTCCGACTTTAAATAACATTTACTTACTTATCGATATTCAGTGTATGCATGAAATAATCCCGGTATAGCCACCAAATTTAAGCTTCATTACGAACATCTATATCTATACAGGATACAAGTTCTGTTTTCATGGACCACCAAACTTTATATCACGTTATGGCAAATAATACTTTTCAATGGTGTGCAAATAAGTACCGAGACTAAGTCTTGTCCTTCTCATTATTGGAAATTCCGGTCCTGTTTATGCATATCTATTTCCGGAGTCGTGCTTGATACTTTTGGCGTTTTACCACTTCCTGTGTATTTGTTTTGTATTTTTGTATTTTGAATTCTCCCGATTTTTCAGATTTCAATTCTTATTTTCGACACGATCGGTCGTTATTACAAGACAATAACAAGAAAACTAATGTTTTAATTATCTGAGAGTATTTTTGGAGTGTATAGTTTGAAATGTCAAAAGGTTGGGACTAGTCACCTAAATTAATTATGTAACAGGTTTAAGTCAAGATAAAAGCCCAAATGTGATGTACATTTAAAAAAAATACTTTATAGTGCAAAATTATTATGTTTTGTTCTAGCGAAAACAGGGACTGTATGTCTGTTTTTTGGTCTAATAAAGTAATATATCATTTGTACCATGACCATTTGATGCTGTATCTGTAAAGTATATCTGTATATATCCAATGAATTTCTACCAAGATCTAGGCACACCTCTGTATTTGGAGTACAATAGAAAAGTTCAATCACCGCAATAGACTATGAATTCCTCCACCAATATATTTACACTTCAAACAATATGTACACAGTTCAAGTTTTCAAATAAAATACTTATTTATGTAATCAGGTAATAGCCTAAATAGGTAAGAATTGTCTGTTAACTATTTAAATAAAAATTTTGTTTTGGACTTAGTCTAGGCGATCTGCAAACACTCTATGTGACCTATCTATTTAACTTTAAAGTTCATTTTCCTCCTACTGCTTAACATGTCCATTTTGGCAGGCATTTCATATCTCTTATTGTGCAAGTTAAAGATTAGTTGTCTACACAGAGGTTCTATTTTACTGCAGATATCTATTTGTAAATCATCACTGTTAGCATAGTGGAATGGGTTAATAATTAGTTGCATAAATTAATGTCTATCTGTGCATTAGTATATTGCAAGGCAGGAAGCTCACTACATTTACATATAATGTTTTTCAGTACGGGTGTTCGAATTTGGCAGAGGGCTTTACAACACAGCAGAAAGTGTGTTAAAGTTTCTTCAGCCTGGTCTCACAATTTACACCTTGGATCTATGTTTTTTTTATTGTAAGCTGCTCTATTTGTCTGTAGAATGTAAGTTCCAGTTGCAATTTTCATCTTTCATTTTGGGTCCTGATGACGGTGCCCTAGGCACCGAAACATGTAGATCAATAAATTTTCTGCAGCAGTCCATAAAGTGTTGTTGTTATAAGACTTTCTTCATTTTATTTGCTATATCATAACGACCCTGCATACCCGAGGTATCCACTTCAGGGACTCTACCGTACTACAGATTCACCAGGCGTTGGTTCACTTTCGTTTGTAATTGGAATTCTGTTGATATCACTTTGATTAGCACTATTTGTCGGTGCTTTGCTTTTGCACCAACTGGCATTTTATTTGCGCCACAATAAAACATTTCATTTGCGCCAATAATACAGGAAATTAGTTTAAAACAATAGATTTATTCAAAAGAGACATTTAACGATAACTTTAAAACACAGTTTTTGTTTTCATAATACAACTTATTCATCCAAAATCAGTCACAATAACCATAATGAAAGCACTATAATATACACTGATAAGTTCTTCAAACGAGACTTTTCATAAAAATGTTAAAGCACAGATCTGTTATAAATTAATGTGATCATTAAACCTGAAAGAGTAAAACTATCAGTTTGTTCTAACCACTATATACTGAAGTCAAAACCAAAAATTTGTTCTGGCACAATACTTGTAAGCAACGGTCCAGATTTTGTAAGCAATGGTCCGGATGTACTCGTGTACATTAGATAACCTATATGTGTGGTCATAAAAAATTACAGACTTATTTCCTCTATATAAAATAATGAGATGTTGTATGATTGCCAATGAGACATTGACAACTATCAACCTAAGTACAAATGAATGGAATGTAAGCAGTTATAGTCAACCGTATGGCCTTCAACAATGAAAAAAATCGATACCGTATAGACGGCTATAAACGGCCCGACATGAAAAATATATAACAATTCAATTAGGAAAACAATATGGCCTGGTCGTCTCAGAATTGACAATGTCCATCTTGACACCTCAAACATGTGAACGCTTGTATAATTTTAAACCTAAGTGACTCTCAGTTTGATATTAGAATAAGTATGAACTCACTTAATTACCCAGGGGTAAAAAAAATTATTCACTATAATGCAATGAATATTTAACACTTTCTGTTATATGCTACCTGTAAATTGGCGCAAATGTAGTTTTTATACGACCGCAAAAAAATTTTGTGGTTGTATATTGGTACGACGTTGGCGTCGTCGTCGTCCAAAGACAAATTGGTTTTCGCACTCTAACTTTAGTTTAAGTGAATGGATCTCTATGAAATTTTACCATAAGGTTCAATACCACAAAAGGAAGGTTGGGATTGATTTTGGGGGTTATGGTACCAACAGTTAAGGAATTAGGGGCCAACAATAAGCATTTTTGTAACTTCCAGACATAACTTTTGTGTTAGTGTATGGATCTCTCTGATATTGTACCACAAGGTTCCATATCACAAAGGGAATGCTTGGATTGATTTTGGGGGTAACTGCCTCAAAAATTTAGGAATTAGGGGACAAAAAAGGGGCAAAAAACAAGCATTTTTCTAGTTTCATGACAATAACTTGTGTGTAAGTCTATGGATCTTTCTGAAATTGTACTACAAGGTTCCATATATCACAAAGGGAAAGCTGGAATTGAGTTAGGGGGTTAATTGCCCAAAACGTTTAGGAATAAGGGGCCAAAAAGGGGCCAAAAATAAGCATTTTTCTGGTTTCCAGACAATAACTTGTGTTCAAGTGTATGGATCTCTCTGAAATCGTACTGCAACGTACCATACCACAAAGGGAAGGCTGGGATTGATTTTGGGGGTAATTGCCTCAAAAATTTAGGAATTAGGGACCAAAAAGGTGCAAAAAACAAGCATTTTTATAGTTTCATGACAATAACTTGTGTGTAAGTGTATGGATCTTTATGAAATTGTACTAAAAGGTTCCATATCACAAAGGGAAAGCTGGGTTTGAGTTTGGGGGTAATTGCCCTAAATGTGTAGGAATTTGGGGCCAAAAAGGGGCCAAAAAACAAGCATTTTTCTAGTTTCCAGACAATAACTTGCGTTCAAGTGTATGGATCTCTCTGAAATTGTACTGCAAGGTACCATACCACAAAGGGAAGGCTGGGATTGAGTTTGGTGGTGATGAATCATAAGGGGGTTCAAAAAATTGGGTGGGAATTTTTTTTTCTTTAAAATTTTCCATTTTAAATTGGTTATTTCTGATTGATATATAAAAGCAAATAATAATGATATGGTTTGAATAGGTAAATTAATTTTTTTTAAGTTCTTAGACCACATTTATTCTGTGTCAGAAACCTATGCTGTGTCATATATTTAATCACAATCCAAATTCAGTGCTGTATCAAGCTTGAATGTTGTGTCCATACTTGCCCCAACTGTTCAGGGGTCGTATCAAGCTGCGCCCAGCGGAGCATTTTATTACTTTTTGGCGCAAATGAAATATAACCTTATGACGCTTATATTGGATATGGTAAAAATTGGCGCAAATGCAATGCGCCCCTATTTGCTATGGCTAAAGGATGAATTTTCCCAATTTTTTATGATGATGATGATATATATTTTATGCTGGAATGATACATTATTTCTTCATTTATTCTTGATGTCCAGCATTTATGTACTGCTGTTGTAATCATTTTCTTCCATTTTCCGTTTGACAGTTCATTACAAAGTAACGATATTGAGTTTTCTAAATCATATTTGATACATATCTTTTTCATATCTATAAACCAACTGTTGCGATCCAGGCTCTTCTTAATCTGTAGTTGTCTTTCTATTAGCCTCCACTCAGTTGAGTTTTTATTTGCTCTTGTAATGTTTCCAAACATTGTTAGGCTTTTCAGATGTATTTCTGCTTCAATAGCATGAATAGGTACAAAATGTAGTAAGCCTGATATTAAGTACACAGCAGGATCAGCAACATTAATATTTAAAAAAAGAATTTGCTTTGGTAGCTTTTTGTATTGAAGTTATAAATTATCCAGTATTTAGACTTTGGGAATGTCCTGACAATGATAAAAAATCTTGCCTAAGACAGACACTGACAGAATGAAATAGGTATTCTGCCCAACAAATGCAAGAAAAAATTGTGGGCAAAAATGAAAATAGATGAGCAGAAAAAATTCCTCCTGTCCCAACCCCATCAGAAAATCAAATGGTTGACCCCTAAGTATGTGTCCCTTTTCACTGCATCCCCTTACAACAAAAATCGATTAAAAGAAGCAGATGCAGATAATTATTCCCTACTGGTTAAACCTCATTTGGCCATTTCAGATTATTAAGGATTGTGGGTAATTTAATTGTTTGTACCCCAAAATGAAAATTACGTCATATCATTGGTTGAATTTCCATTGTTTAGGATGTTATTGTTTATGCTTGTGAAAATATTACCAGGCATTCATCAGATTCTGAAATGGTGAATTAAGACAACCATGACAAATACAGCTGAATCAAAGCAGATTACGTTCTTTGTACTGCTTTATTTTACTGATCATACATGTAGGTGATTAAGAAAATATCTCCAACAGTATTTTTGTTATTTCCAATTGTTTAAATCTGTTATAAATCCCCAAAACAAGTGTTGGCATAAAGCTTCAAGGATTAGATCAAGAAATAACATGGAATGAGTCTATGATTCGAAATGGTAAACATGTACAAATTGTAGTTGGTCTGTAAATATTATGAAATGACCATTGTTGATTGAACCAAGTAGTAAATTTATGTGTGATTAGCTTTTATTTACCATACATCATGATAATATGAAAGTGTTCAAGTCAATATAACCAATTTCAAATGTACTTTTATTTATCGTCTAGATACATGTACATAAAAGTTTAATTGCCTTTTGTGTGTCATTTGATTTTTTCATTGAAATTCTATGTAGACAGCAATTTATTAGTAAAATATTAAAATAAAAAGATAAAATCAGAAGTCATAAGAGAAAAACTTTCCATTTCCTGTATGATGAACTATTTTAGTCTTGCAGATGATAGATGATAGACTTTTTTCCTGATTTCATATGTAAATATCTATCGTGGGCTGTTATTTTAGTATTTAGACTTTCACAAATGTAACCAAGGTTATGTATATAAAGATATGGATCTGACAGGTAATTTAGTAAACTATTATTTTATTTAACTGTACATGTACATGTAAAAATCTCGTATTATCCACCCTTATAGATTGTAGGGTCTATTGTCTCATGTTAAAAAAGTAAAAAACTATTTCTAGTTAACAAAATGACTGAAAGTGAAAATTCATGTAATTTTTAATGTTTTAGGAGATGCTAAGGAGCTGAACATGCCACCACAAGATTTCAATAAGCGACATGGAAATGTTTCTGTTCATTGGTTCCGGCATGGTCTTCGTCTTCATGACAACCCATCCCTCTTGGAAGCACTGAAGAATTGTACGGAGTTCTATCCTATATTTATTTTTGATGGAGAAGTTGCAGGTACGGTATAATTTATCTTATAGTTGCCATACATAATTGTGTTTCTCAGTTTTCTTCTTAATTATAAATCTTATTATATATAATAACCCATTAAAAATTAGGAGAATGATTAATAGTTGTTTTCTTAACATTCAGATATAGATTTTTCATGCATATTTAGAATAAGAACAAATTTAACAACAGATAAAGAAGGTTCTTCAAAATTGGTAAACCAGCATTAAGGGTTGGTTTGAGCCAGCAAAATAGGTAAACCAGCATTAAGGGTGGGTTTGAGCCAGCAAAATAGGTCAAAAGGAATGGAGGGTGGGTTTGGGCCTGCAGAATTGGTCAATGTAATAGAGGGTGGGTTTGGGCCAGTAAATTGATCAACAAGAATTAAGGGTGGGTTTGGACCTGCAAAGTTGGTCAACCCAATTATTAGATAAGATAAGGTCTTAACTTGAGACAAAAGATTATGTTGGTTAGGAGCAGAATTTTTAGCTGCAACATCACCATCGACTAACCCATTAAACAGTTGTTACAAGGATTGTTGAGAAATCATGGAATGTGGTGCAGTCTAAAAATATGGCATTATATTAAACATTTCCATTTTGACCATTAATGAAGCATCCAGTAGGGATAATCACAGATAACAATTCAAGGGTAGAGCTGATAGAATAATTATTTTTATCATTAAAAAATAATTACGATTTTTTTAATCTTTATACATTGATTTTAGGAAATTGAAAAAAAAGGTTAAAAGAACCAAAACAAATAATTTTGGAGTCGCCCTTGGACAGATAAAATATATGCATGGCTAGAGTACATGGGAACACTGTCCTTTTTATTGTACACTTAGAAAAGTGACTGTACCAGGACAAGAATATTAGTCATTATCCACGTATTTATAAAATTGATATTTTAGTGTTTACATGTAGTATTTTTTTTATTTTAGTAGATTAGACTTTGGAGTTTTGAAATAACCTTGGAGTTTATTTGATATATTATTAATCTTCAACAAATTATTTTTAAAGGTACCAAGCATGTTGCATTTAATCGAATGCGGTTTTTAATCGAAAGCCTGGAAGATCTGGATAGGAATTTGAGAAAATTTGGTGGTCGACTGTATGTTTTCCATGGCAAGCCTGTGGACATTCTGACCAATCTATTCAAGGTATTTTAATGAAATAATTCAAACTACCAGTACTTTTTGACTAAGTCACTCAACCAAGACTTGTTTGTAATTCAGATAATTTAGATTGTTAGTTTATATCATTTATGAATAGTATCCAATGACTGTCTAGAAATGATAGAAAAAAGAGATATGGGTGGATTAACATGAAATGGAATTCAACACATGCTTCATTATCTTCATATTTTCTTTGTTTATATAAAGTTGATACATATTAGCCTGTATACTACTCATTGATTTTTGTATCTTTACATTTATCATATATTTTATGATAGGAATGGGGTGTGACAAAGCTAACATTTGAGCAGGACCCTGAAGCAGTATGGAAACAAAGGGATGATGCTGTAAAAGAACTTTGTGATAAAAAGGAAATAGAATGTGTTGAGAGAGTATCTCATACCCTTTATGAACCAATGAAGTATGCATATTCAACAATAATAATCGTAAATTCATAAATTTTTGCAATGTTTTTTTTTAAAGCAAAAATTTCTATGGAAAAGGTTTCAGAATAATAAAAACATATGTATGCTGCATTTCTTGAAATTGCAATAATTAATATAACATTTTTGTCCATTGTTTTAAAATCGCAATAATAAATGCACTCAAAAATTTATTGAATTTACAGTATACTGCCTGCTATGGTAGATAACTAGACAGTTTTTACATCCTGGTTCTTTGTTCTACGATGGGTAGTTGTCTGGTAGGTAATCATACCACATCTCCTTATTTTTTATGGAGAAAGGTATCTGAGTTGTAGCTGAAGGACATTTTTTTTTCAATTTGGTAATTCACTGAACAACATGTATATACATGTAAAATGAATGTTGTTTTATTTAATGCAGAATGTTGATGTTTTAAATATGAAAATAAATATAACAGAACTGTTAAATATTACAACTATTATATTGGTTCAAACAGCTTTTCAACATAAAATTGGACAAGTCTATGTATGATATAACTACATACTGACTTTCTTGATAAAGCTATCTTCTGCTTTATAACATTGAACATATACTGCCATGCTATTTGGTAAACACATTGATGTATGGAAATATTTGGCAGTCACAACAAAACTGGGTCACCATGATCTTAGATGGTCCTACATTTAATACTTCAAGGATGATTTTTATTTATTTATCTAATGCTGTTAACTTAAAAACCCTATTTAAAGATAAATACAAATGGTTCCCATTAATCTTTGATATACCCACTGATTATTGAAACAGGGGGATTGTAGTGACCATTGTAACTTTTTGTGTCCTTGTTTGTTTTATTTATCTTATTTCTTCTGTACATACACTCCTTCATCCACACTTTGTATCTGCAACTCCTCTAAACCTGAGATTTTTACTGAAACTTTTTAGAGAATCTTGCATGATTAATAGCATTGAATACATGTTATTTTATGCTTTGTTTCATGTACAAACTACAAATGTTTTTTTTTTAAATTTGCTTAGGAAAAAAACATGTATTTTTTTGATATCTACAAAATCTGGCAATTGCTGCAAATGAACATTTAGATGCATAATTTAATTATAATCAAGCAATTGGATATTGATATTTTAACTAGTGCTACTTGCAATCAAGACAATAGTGCATCATACCTTTTTTGAAAGTATAATTTTAAATAAGTTTTTAAACTAGTAGCTAGCTGTTTTATTCAATTTTGTTTATTTATTTCTTACATATGTAATCTTATATCTTAATATAATACTTCCATGATAATGCTATACTAAATCACAGAAAAACAACAACAATGGAACAATACTGGAATAAAATTTTACACCAGTGTTGGTAACAGTGTGATTGTCACGTTCAGGTGATCTTGCTATTTTATTTATTCAAAGGATTTTAGTTATGTCCCCAGACTCCCCTCATAACAAAACTTAAACATTTCATGTGGAGCTGGGGGTATGCTCACCGTTTTGTTTCTTTTAGGATTTTGAATAATGTACATTTGTACAGTTCAATGTTTTGGATTGGTGGTGCATCAACTGAAGTCTTAGACTATACTGACTCTACTCAGAAAATTTTGCCATTTTTCTTTTATGATGAAAACTGCGAGATGACAGGTTTTTGCAAAAACAAAGACCCGCATTAAAATTTTGATAGAATTATTTGTCCTCAACATTTACTAAAATCGTAATCAATCTCACATTGTTTTCCACTTTTCTACAATCGCAAGAATAAATGCATGTAATTGAGCAAATATCGGAATTTGCAGAATTGGCTTTATAAGGCCAAGACAAAAATGAGTATGCAATCATAGATTCTCCTATGTCATGTATTTTTGTATTACAGAATCATAGAAAAGAATGATGGCATGCCACCTTTAACCTACAGTCTATTTAATTTGGTGGCATCAACCCTTGGTGCTCCTCCTCGACCTGTGTCTTACCCAGTGTTCCATAATATTGATCTTCCTGTATTCCCTGACCATGAGAAGAAGTTTGGTATCCCAAAACCTCAAACAGTGGGTAGGTACATACAATGCAAATATTGTTATTCTATTTAGAAATTACATGTGCTTTTACGATACTGTTGGTAAACAGATTTTGAATGTGAAAAGCTTAAGTGGAATATTGCCTCCCAAAAAAATGAATTTATAAGACATAAATTATTAAAGCTGCATGGGTTATTTCAACTTTATAACAGTAACATTACTGTGAATATAAAATAATTTTGATAGTATAATATGTATATTTAAAGGTGTGTTTCCTGATTGTAAGGAACAGAACAACAGGATCAATGAATGGAAAGGTGGAGAAACCAAAGCTCTAGACTTGTTAGAAAAACGACTTGCCATAGAGAAAAAGGTATCATGGAATATTTTTCTATCTCTTAATTTAAAAAAATAATGTAGTTCTGAAAGGTTAAACAGGCTTCAGACCACAATTAATTAGGGCCTCGCCGAATGGTGGATGCCCTATAGTGATCAGTCTGTCTGTCTGTCCGTCTGTCTGTCCACCTGTCCGTCCGTCCGTCTGTCCGTCCGTCTGTCCGTCCGTAACACATTGTGTCCGCTCTATATCTAGAGAACTGTTATGATTTCAAAGTTTATACTTGACATTTATATTAACCAACACCAGAGGGTGTGTCATAATGTATGTACAACTTCCTAGGTCAAAGGTCAAGGTCAAAAACTTTGGTTTTAGTTGACAACCCCATGTCCTGTGGTAAAGATCGTGTCCGCTCTATATCTTGAGAACCTTTATGATTTCAAAGTTTATACTTGACATGTATATAAACCAACACCAGAGGGTGTGTCATAAGTTATGTACAACTTTCTAGGTCATAGGTCAAGGTCATAAACTTTGGTTTCAGTTGACAACCCCATGTCCAATGATAAAGATACAAATTTTTTACCACACATTATTCACAGCGGGCCCACAGAGATGGCTCCCATCTCAATGATATCTAGTTTCCTTTGTTTGTGGTCTAGGAATATAGTTCCCAATTATTATATGGGGTATTTCTTCCTGAGTATTCTGACTACTGTTTTCTTTGAAAAAGTTTACTATTTAAGTGGTCCTATATATATATTGAAATAAGTAAAACATATGTGAAAAATTTATTGTTGAAAGTGAAAGTAGTGATTTGGCCAAAATGAAAGTAGGGTAGAAATTAGCCTTCGGCATTTATTCAAGATTCTTATCCTACTATTGGCATGTTAATAGGGCTCTTAAAAGAAAAAGCACAGATGGATTGTCCTGGGACAATCATATTTTATTAGAATAATAATGGTCTATAAGCAGTTGAATTTATTTCATGTTTGACACTGTGCAATTTTTTTAATTCAAATTGGCTTTTACAAAGAAATGCATTGTAACCAATGGGAAGAATAATTGTGGTCTGAGGCCAACAAGACTGAAATGTTAGTTGACACCTAATAGGAGTTATTGCCCTTCACTATTTTACCAATTTTTCCACCATATTTAGCTTTTTTCTTGAACAGTATAGTAGACAAAGAAAAGTGATAACCCTAAAATTGAACAGCACTCATAGAAAGTCTGCATAGGTTTAATAAACATGACCAAATTCTTTAATTGATTTCTCATATGAGTCATTATCTTTAAATCTTAAATAAATATGTGAAATAAATGAAATTGGTCTCAATATTCCCTAGAGTCCTAGGTAAGTTCAGGCTCCGTGGAGCCTCCAGCTAAGTAAAATATGGAAAATGAAGCAAAAAATTAATTAAGGATATTTAAGGATCTTTTCTTTTGGATTTGTTGTTAAGTTGAGTTATTTATTTTCACACTTATATTTCCAAATAAAAGTATATTGGTATTGGCTAAAGAATAACATCCCTTTTTCCTCAGATATATAAATTCTGCTGAAAAAAGCTTTTATTAAAAAATTAAACAGTGTACCATGTATTTGACAGAAAATAAGCTTTTGAAAACATTCAGGCCCATTGAACCACAACTCACTCTCTCTCAATATATACTGTAAATTCAGAAATTTATATATTGAGTTCATTAATTATTGCGATTTTTAAAATTGAGATAACTTATTGCGATTTCAAGAAAAGCTGCATATAGATATACCTATCATATATTTGAATGCAAGTTCTTATTGTGATACTCATCAAGACGCGTTATTAGCTTTAATTAAAACCTTGCAATAAATTCTGAATTTACAGTATATACATTATAAACATGTAAGATACCTGTAAGTTGAAAGAAAATTAAATAACACTGGAAATACACTATAGGTAGTCTTAACATCATTCTAATTTTCATTGGTCCAAGGAACTTGTATCTTAATATTTGTACTTAAATAAATACATGTGAACATCCTAGAAGGACACAAATATACCTGGTTTATTGCAGTTATATTTCCATTTTAGGCATACGAAGATGGATATGTGTTACCAAACCAGTACAGTCCTGATCTGCTGGGAGAACCAATGAGTATGAGTGCCCATTTGAGATTTGGTTGCTTGTCTGTCAGGAGGTTCCACTGGACCATTCATGACTTGTTTGAAAAGGTACAATATATAGGTTCTATATGATAAATAATACCACCATGGTCCTTTAAATGAATGATTGAATATCTCAAAGAAATAAAAATAACAGGAAATGTGGGATGTACATCAATGAGACAGCCATCCTAAAATGAAAGCATCCATAGGTCATTATTTTGAAATAAATATTGAATTTTCCTATTAAAATTTCCAATTTCTCTCACAAAAAAAAGAAAGTTTCCAAGAAAACTCATTTTCATGATTAACATGTGGTCTCTTGGTATCAAATACAATTATTTTTCAGGAACTTTGCGTTTATATCAGATCTTCTGGGATAGTACACGAAAAAAACAAGCTTATTTAACATGAATAAATCAAACTTTGCTAGAGTCTTAACTAAGGTGTGAAGTTTCAAAATTTCTGTACTTTAAGGTGTCAAGTTTCAGATTTAATACACACTAAGTTGTCAAGTTTCAGATTTACTTTACACTAAGTTGTCAAGTTTCAGATTTATTGTACACTAAGGTGTCAAGTTTCAGATTTACTGTACAGTAAGGTGTCAAGTTTCAGATTACTGTACAGTCAGTCAGTTCATGTGATCTATTTAATATTGCAAAAAGCAACAGGATTCAGAGTGCATTATTAAAAGCTTTAAGCCTTAATCTAACCTTAGATTTTAATAATTTATTTAAGTTTGATCACAAATTTCACATTGATTGATTGATTGGTGGTGTTTAACACCACTTTAAACACTATTGGCCATATCATGTCAGTCTGTTACTATTGGTGGGAAAAAAACGGAGTGTGCCTAGAGAGCACTACAGACCTTCTACATTGAAGTCAACTTTGATGTTTCGCATTAACAAAAAATGAGCCAAATAATTTTAGATTTACAAATATCAAATAATGTGTACTGCCTCTGGAGAACATAGATTTACTTAAATTGCACTTAAGTATCTTCTATTCCATAGAAATATATATTATTCAGTTGTTGATGGATTCATATAAGGAATATCCAAGTTGACACTTTCAAAATAACTTTTTTCACATTATTTTTCTTCTTGTGAAATTTGCCTAGATACATTATAAAAATAAGTTGGTTTGCAGCATACAGTAAAGTGGAGAAATCCATAAAAAAAAAAAGTATTTTTTTTCCTCTATCTAATTTTTACAGCTGGAAAAATATATGCCACAGGTTTTTATCACATCCTTGGTTTTATTGAAAAAAACTGAGACCGATTATTAGTACTTATATATATGATGAGGTATGACATTTTTTAGATTTCTACAGTTAAAGGCTGTTCTATTCAAACATACATAGAAGGCTGTTCTATTCAGACATACATAGAAGGCTGTTCTATTCAAACATACATAGAAGGCTGTTCTATTCAAACATACATAGAAGGCTGTTCTATTCAGACATATATAGAAGGCTGTTCTATTCAGACATACATAGAAGGATGTTCTATTCAAACATACATTCAGACATACATAGAAGGCTGTTCTATTCAGACATACATAGAAGGCTGTTCTATTCAGACATACATAGAAGGCTGTTCTATTCAGACATACATAGAAGGCTGTTCTATTCAAACATACATAGAAGGCTGTTCTATTCAAACATACATAGAAGGCTGTTCTATTCAAACATACATAGAAGGCTGTTCTATTCAGACATACATAGAAGGCTGTTCTATTCAAACATACATAGAAGGCTGTTCTATTCAAACATACATAGAAGGCTGTTCTATTCAAACATACATAGAAGGCTGTTCTATTCAGACATACATTCAGACATACATAGAAGGCTGTTCTATTCAGACATACATAGAAGGCTGTTCTATTCAAACATACATAGAAGGCTTTTTCAAATTTTTACAAGGGAAAGCAATCTACAGAGGCAGTTAAAGAATTTCACTTACGGTACATTTTCACTTAACTTGACACCTACCCATAGTGAGATTTCAAAGTGCCTTCCCTGGGTCCACATAAGTTGTCACGAAAGAGTCCTTAAGTAAATCATCTTTTTATCATATTTATTTATTATAATTATTCATTCTATATATTTCATCTAGGTCAAGCCAAAAGAAAGTAAGCCAGATGCCTTGACATGCCAACTGATTTGGAGAGAGTACTTTTATGTGATGTCAGCCAACAATATAAACTACGATAAGATGGAAGGAAACCCTATATGTCTAAACATTCCATGGTATAGAAATGATGAAATTTTGAAAAAGTGGGAAATGGTATGTCTGGTTTGTTTTTATGTTTTTTTGTTTAAAGTGAAAATGTGACAGGTTTAATGTTGCTATGATTAAAACTTATTATTATCATTAATTTCAAATTTTATACTTTATGTACAGGAAACATATTTATGACTTCTGCATCATCATCAGTAGATAAAGATTGATTTCATAATAATAAATTAAAATGTGAATTTACAGTAGTTTTTTTCTGGCTTGGTAGAAAATTCCAGCTGAATACACCAGATGGCGCTTTAATTATTCCATTTGTATTATTAGGGTCAGACTGGTTACCCATGGATTGATGCTATAATGAACCAGTTGAGACATGAAGGCTGGATCCATCATGTTGGTAGACATGCTGTAGCCTGCTTCTTGACCAGAGGAGATTTATGGATCAGTTGGGTAGATGGTTTAAAGGTAAATTTTGTCCAGGATTTTTTGTACAGACCAAGGGCAGGGGTTCAAATTTGCTTTAGATAATGAAAGGTCCAGGACCATTTGAAATTTTCCGTGAAAGGTCCTCAATAAGAAATTCAGTGGTCCTGTATAAAGCATCAGTGTAAAGGATGGTAGGTCCTTGACTTTTGTTATTCAAAAATGAAAAGTCCCCTTCTAGAAAAGACAGGTCCCGGACCTCGTACCCACACTGACTTGAACCCCTGAAGGGTCCAGAAACAGTCATATTTTCCAGGCTTAACCAATTTATGAATATGAATGACCAAGATTAACATTCAAAATTTTAGACATTCATAATAATGGAGGTGGGTCACTAAATAACTTAATTAATGATCTCTATAGTAATTTTATTTCTAACAGGGACATTAATATGTTCGCCAAATGTAATGGTTCTTAAGACACATAAGCAATGGGTGTCATGGAAAATGACCAGTACAGCCTCTGGCAAAAGACATATAAGTAGGTCAGGGAGGCATGCATTATGGTTGGAAAAACTGTTTGCAACAGTTACTAGAGATTGAGTGAAAGTATGATAAAAAAATCAATTAAAAGTCTTGTAGATAAAGGGAACAGCTGCTACTGACCTTTTTGGAAAAGTAATATATTTCTGATAACTCTAACCTATTTACAACCAAAGCTAAAGAAATGATATATGCAAGAATCTTCATGATTGTGTCCACGACAGCCTTTGTTTATGAGTCTTTGAACACCATTAGATTTGGCAAACATATCCACTTTCCCTGTTAGAAATAGAAATTGTGGCAAAATCTGAAAATCCGGTAAACAGGCAAAGGATAGATTCCTACCAAGCATTAGTGAATGGTATATTTGTTACCCTCTTTATGAGGGTCTGGATGGTGTTTAAAGAATAGAGAGGCAAACTTATTAAATAGTAGAGAATAAATAAAGAATAGAGAAAATGGTAAAAAAAAAAACACAATAAAGAAATAAAGGACCCCATTCAGACCCTCTTTATTGCTGTTCTGTAATCCAAATTGACAACTGATACTGAAGATAGAAAAGATGTATTTGATTTAATGCTCTGAATATTGCAGTAAAAGTTGCTGATTTCATCCAGTTTTGCCAATTAAACATAATTTGGAAAAATTGCTTGGAAATCTTTTGCTTTGAAGCCACTTTGGTCAGTTTTAATAACACCTTTATTGAAATATACTTGGATTGTCTGCTGTAAAAGTAATGTTGTTTTTTCAGATTTCCAATATAAAATGGTTGTTACTTAATTAGAAATTTAGGTAAACAAGTGTTTTGAAATAGTTTGTTTGTTTTAATTTGTTTGAATATTGTTTTGTTTGTTTGATTTTGAGTGTGTTTTTTTGCGGGGGAGGGAGGGAGTACATTAATTTAATCTGAAACAAGATGAAAAACTAGTATTTTATTACTTGCTAGAAAAATTCATTTCAGTGATATATGTTTTTACATTAACCAAGCTCTTTGGAACCTCTAGTTTTATTTTTCTTGATAAAAGGGCAAGCAACTTAATTTTTATCAACAATAGACATAAATGAAATATAATTTAAAAATGAAGACAAAAAAAAGACAAAACTGGTCAAAATTTTTATATCTAGCCTTTCAATTTTACTTTTGTTTTTTTTAAATGAATACCATTTAAATAGTTTGAGTTAGATATTCAATTGCACATTTACAGTTTATTAAATGCAAAGACCTTATGCAGTTTCTTATTTGTCAGTTTTAGATATTCTGAGAATTAGTAGCCTAAAATTATTTCAATATTACTGTTGTTTAAGTATTCCTAATAATCAATAAATACAAATTTGGTTTATAGAATTATAGGAAGAAATATTTGTAGAACTGTCCTCCACTAACTGCATTCATTCTAATTGATAGATTTTCCTGAAATACTTAATTGATGCTGATTGGTCAGTTTCTGCTGGGAATTGGATGTGGGTGTCCAGTTCAGCATTTGAGAAGGTCCTACAATGTCCCAAGTGTTTCTGCCCAGTTGGATATGGTCGTAGAATGGATAGGACAGGAGAGTACATCAGGTAACACTAAAACTGGACATGATGGGAGACCAAAAACAAATTAATATATTAAAAAGGATGGGGTTATATCAGACAAAGTATAAGATACAAAGTATACATATATAGAATAACTATGCATGTCTCGAACTATTAAATTTATTTGTACAAGGCTTAGAAACAGGTTGAAAGTGAGGCTGTGGAGAGCATTTCTATTCTGTTTTAAGCCCGAGTACAAATAAATTTTATATTTCGCGACATATATACTTATCTCTTTATACTGCAACTCTTACAACTTTTTCAAATGAAATATTTCGGGTTATAACCATTAATTTGGAATTTGAAGTGGACGATGTAGAAATTCTGTGACCCTGTATTTTTAGCTCACCTGGCCCGAACCAAGATGGCCGCCATGGCTAAAAATTGAACATAGGGGTAAAATGTAGATTTTGGCTTATATCTCTGAAACCAAAGCATTTAGAGTAAATATGACTGATTATAAGGTCAAGATCTATCTGCCCTGAAATTTTCAGACAAATCTGACAACCTGTTGTTGGGTTGCTGCCCCTGAATTGGTAATTTTAAGGAAATTTTGCAGTTTTTGGTTATTATCTTGAATATTATTATAGATAGAGATAAACTGTGAACAGCAATAATGTTCAGCAAAGTAAGATCTACAAATAAGTTGTCATGACCAAAATTTTCAGTCGACCCCTTTAGGAGTTATTGCCCTTAATAGTCAATTTTTAACAATTTTTTGTAAATTTTTGTAATCTTTTACAAAAATCTTCTTCTCTGAAACTACTAAGACAAATTTAACCATACTTGGCCATAATCATTATTAGGGTATCTAGTTTCAAAAATTTGTCCGATGACCCCGCCTTCCAACCATCATGGCCGACTTGGTTAAAAATAAAACATAGGGGTAAAATGCAGTTTTTGGTTTATATCTCTGAAACTAAAGCATTTAGAGCAAATCTGACAGGTGGCTAAAATGTTCATCAGATTAAGATTTATCTGCCCTGAAATTTTCAGACGAATCCGACAACCCATTGTTGGGTTGCTGCCCCTGAGTTAGTTATTTTACAATAATTTTGCAGTTTTTTGTTATTATCTTAGATATCATTATAATATCTAATATCTAATACTATTAGTTATGATTTTAACCTTATTTTACATGATTTCCAAAGCATCAGTAAATACAGGTGAGCGACACAGGCTCTTGAGAGCCTCTAGTTTATCCTGATACTCATGTTAGTATTTTTATAGTTTTTTTTCCCCATAAGAGTGATTCATTCTTCTCGGAGCCTCTTGTTAATGTATTAGATAGGGAGCATGAATCACATTAATACATTTCTGTAGTTCTATAGTTAGGCATCAGTGTTTGATAGATGAAAAATTGTTAAAAGGTTCATACAAGAACCAAATATGTCTCACTTTATTGCAAAATTGTGATTTCCAGTTTATTTCCATTACAGACGATACTTGCCCGTGTTGAAGGATATGCCTTTGAGGTATTTGTTTGAACCATGGAAGGCTCCATTAGCAGTGCAACAGAAGGCTCATTGTATTGTAGGGAAAGATTATCCACATCCAATTGTAAACCATAAAGAGGCTTCAAATGAATGTGCTAGTGCCATGAACAAGGTCATTGAGAGTTTTAAAGGAAAAGGTTAATATTTATACATTTATTTGTATTGTATATTAAATAATGTCATGGGGGCCTCAGTGGCCAAGTGGGCCAAGTAGTCCCAACTACTGTATCACTAGCCTGTCAACACTGAGGTTGTGAGGTTGAACCTGGCACATGGCAGGTTCATTTCGACTCCAATGCCGAAGGTTGATTGTTCTTTCCCTGCACTCTGGTTTCTTCCACCAATAAAAACTGACTGCAATGAAATAGCCAATAGTGCTGGCAGTAAACACCAATCAATCAATCAATCATTGAATAATGTCATATAATTTTTAAAGGCAGTGCTTTAATGCCTTTCTGGTTGCCGTGTTAATCTTTCCTTCCGCGATATCAGACATATCTACGTGGGACCACAAGTAGATCCAGAAATATTGAATTCTCTCCTCTTTTTTTTGTGATATAAAATGTTTTTTGTTTCATTTCATTTACATTGGGAAATAAAGAAACGATCATTGTGTTTTGTTAATTTTAAAAACTTTTGATATAATTGTATTTTGCATTATTAGCAGTCAACCGATTGACAAATTAGAATTATTTGAATTCCGTGTGGAAAGAGGTCGGGTCAATTTCGAGTGTTATCTGAAATCTAGATGTTTTCAAATCATTTCAGTCGTTGATATAACAATTAAAGGTCGACTGAACATGAATTATATTTCATATTATAAAATTTAAAGCGCATTTCTGTTTATGCACGTGAAGCCGTATGACGTTATCGTTATATAAAAAGTAGCAAATTATCGTTCCTCAGTAGGTGGCGCCGTGGTAGCCGATCCTGTTTCATAACTTCCGGTTTCTGCACTGTGCAAATTTTTAATTAACAATGCCTAGTACTTGTTGTTGTGTACCTGGATGTCATTTAAGAGGAGGACATGCATTTCCAAATGATTTAAAAAGAAGGAAAAGTTGGATCAACGCCATGGTCCATACGCAGATTGGACGAGAACACGAATCTCAATCAGCTGTTCAGCCTGTTGTTTACAAGGCACATTTAAGTCATTTTACTGAAAACGACTACGTGCAGGAAAATATTCATGGTAAAACTTTATTTTCTTTTTGAAATACATACAGTTATATATATAATCGCCATGCGAATAAACCAAAGTCTGTTTACAACTGCAATTATCGTTTTAGGTTAAAAGAGGGTGGTTAATTCAAGACGTCATATTTTTTTTTATTACGTTTCAATGTGATCTGTTTAAGATTTTTTGGTGAATGCTACAAATATTATGATTTCTTACAAGAGGTATATCATACTGAGAATTATTTTAGCAGTAATTATGCTAATGTAGTAATGACAGGAATGCATAAGCCATGCCTCGTAGGCTTTCTTGAAAAATATCAATGACAATGTTAACAGGAACAAAACAATGACATGCTCTCATCTATATTTTAGTTATTTAGGTAATTGTGTTGCATAAGTCTCTCATTGTTTGTCCTTTTGATTTACATAACATACATTGAATCAGGCAAACATTGTTTTATCCACATTGTAATGAATAAATCTAGTTAATATTTTGCCAGGTAGTACAAAGTATAAATTGCTAATGGAAGTTCATTTAATTTTCAAAAAAATAATGCTTTATAACTTTTTTCAGGGCGCAAACCCACCATACAGAGACTTATGTCTACTGCCATTCCCAGCCTATTTTCCTAGACTAAGCAAGAGACTGAATCGTCTGCAAAAAGAAAAATCAGGGCAGTTTCCTGTGAAAACAAAACTAAACTCGTTGAATATTGTAGTAGAAATCTAGAGGAAAGTTTTGATTGTGAAGTTGGTTTTTCTGAAGAAGTCATTCATACTGCAGGAAGGATTTATGAATGTCCACCACCAACTGCCGAGCTAATGTTGAGCTTCACGGATGGAATAACACAAACACCATCAATGCCTATGTTTTCAGCAGAGGATTTCGCAAATGATGATACAGCCATGCATTTTAATACCGGTTTAGAGTCATATACTAAATTTTTATTTGTTTTGACCATGGTTGGTCCAGCAGCACATTGTTTGAGATACATATATTTTCAAATTGATAGAGTGTCAGTTGAAAATCAGTTTTTTTGCGACTTTGATGAAAATTGAGGCATTATATAACCAACTTTGAACTGTCTAGATTGTTTTCAATATCTGAACCTAGTGTTACATACGTAGGAATATTGTGTATACATGGATTGTTTTTATGTCTAAATAGTGGTGAGAGGCTAACACTTGGCCATCTAGTGGTTTAGTCAGGTATTTTTTATACGACCGCAAAAAATTTTTGAGGTCGTATATTGGTATGACGTTGTCGTCGACGTCATCGTCGTCATCCGAAGACACATTGGTTTTCGCACTCTAACTTTAGTTTAAGTATAAAGATCTCTATGAAATTTTACCATAAGGTTCAATACCACAAAAGGAAGGTGGGGATTGATTTTGGGGGTTATGGTACCAACAGTTAAGGAATTAGGGACCAAAAAGGGGCCAAAATAAGCATTTTTGTAACTTCCAGACATAACTTGTGTGTTAGTGTATGGATCTCTCTGACATTGTACCACAAGGTTCCATATCACAAAGGGAATGCTGGGATTGATTTTGGGGGTAATTGCCCCCAAATTTTAGGAATTAGGGGCCAAAAAGGGGAAAAAAACAAGCATTTTTCTAGTTTCATGACAATAACTTGTGTTCAGGTGTATGGATCTTTATGAAATTGTACTACAAGGTTCCATATCACAAAGGGAAAGCTGGGTTTGAGGTGGGGGTAATTGCCCTAAATGTTTAGGAATTTGGGGCCAAAAAGGGGCCAAAAAACAAGCATTTTTCTAGTTTCCAGACAATAACTTGTGTTCAAGTGTATGGATCTCTCTGAAATTGTACTGCAAGGTACCATAACACAAAGGGAAGTCTGGGATTGAGTTTGGGGGTGATGAATCATAAGGGGGTTCAAAAAATTTGGGGGGGGTTTCCTTTTTTTTTCTTTAAAATTTTCCATTTTAAATTGGTTATTTCTGATTTATATATAAAAGCAAATAATAATGATATGGTTTGAATAGGTAAATTAAAAAAATTTAAGTTCTTAGACCACATTCATTCTGTGTCAGAAACCTATGCTGTGTCAAATATTTAATCACAATCCAAATTCAGTGCTGTATCAAGCTTGAATGTTGTGTCCATACTTGCCCCAACTGTTCAGGGTTCGACCTCTGCGGTCGTATCAAGCTGTGCCCCAGCGGAGCATTTTATTGCCATTTGACTTCAAATTAAAGTTTCCTACAACTAGGATTATTATTGACAGCACAGAATGTCCCTTGAAAAAAACCTATAGGCTATTAGCTCCTAGAGCAACCTTTTCATCATATAAAAACAGAAACACTGAAAACACTTGTATGTTCGACACCTGGTGGTTTAGTCAACAATATGTCTCTTATGCATACATGTATGTTGGTTGTACCAGTGACCGTCAAATAGTTGAACGATGTAGAATAGTTCAATTATGTGATCCAGGTGACAGTGTGATGGCAGATAAAGGTTTTAATGTGCAGGATTTGTTTGCTAATGTTGTCAATATTCCAACTTTTTTCAAAAAGTGAAACAGAATTAGTTTGAAAACTCTTTTACGGGAAAGAAAAGTCTCCAATAAAAGCGTGCATACAGAGCGAATTATTGGACTTTGCAAAACATACAAAATTAGAACTTCAATTGTGCCAAAGGATGCATAAATGAAAGAAGGAAAAGTGACACAATGAATTTTGTTCTGATATATATATTTACAATTACATGTACATGTAAATTGTAATGCATATAAAAAAAAGGAGATGTGGTATGATATTCAGTGAGTTTATCAAACCAAAGAGCATAAGAAATGGGTTTAAGCAGTTACAGGTGTTAATGTAACCGTACAATCTCTAACAATGAGAAGAACTCTTACCGTGTAGAGAATTTCAGAGATCTTACAGTTAAGTTTTGTTTTTGGGTTGAATCATTTTCTTCTATTGTCTTACAGATATGGAGAGGTGGTTAAAATGCTAATGAGACAACTATTATGACAGTGACCAAACAACGAGTCTTTGAGATGTCATTTTTTGTCGAGCCTTCGACTTTTGTCAAAAAAGCGAGACATAGCGATCCTACATTCCGTCGGCGGCGTCGTCGTCGTTATCGTCGGCGGCGTCCACAAATATTCACTCTGTGGTTAAAGTTTTTGAAATTTTAATAACTTTCTTAAACTATCCTGGATTTCTACCAAACTTGGACAGAAGCTTGTTTATGATCATAAGATTATATTCAAAAGTAAATTTTGTAAAAAAAAAATCCATTTTTTCCGTATTTTACTTATAAATGGACTTAGTTTTTCTGCCAGGAAACATTACATTCACTCTGTGGTTAAAGTTTTTGAAATTTTAATAACTTTCTTAAGCTATCCTGGATTTCTACCAAACTTGGAAAGAAGCTTGTTTATGATCATAAGATAGTATCCAGAAGTAAATTTTGTAAAAAAAAAAATCCATTTTTTCCGTATTTTACTTATAAATGGACTTAGTTTTTCTGCCAGTTAACATTACATTCACTCTGTGGTTAAAGTTTTTAAAATTTTAACAACTTTCTTAAACTATCCTGGATTTGTACCACACTTGGACAGAAGCTTGTTTATGATCAAAAGCTAGTATCTAGAAGGAAATTTTGATCAAATTTTGTTCCATTTTTTCCGTATTTTACTTATAAATGGACTTATTTTTTCTTCCAGTTAACTTTACATACAGTCTGCAGTTAAAGTTTTAAAAACATTTATTAGATTCAAAAACCATCCTGGATTTTTACCAAACTTGGACAGAAGCTACTTACAATCAAAAGATAGTATAGAGAGGAATATTTTTATTAATTTTTTTCCTCATTTTTGTTGAGCCTGCGATTAACAGCAAAAGTAGGCGAGACACTGGGTTCTGCGGAACCCTTACGAATTTTTTCTTAAATAAGAACTCCTTTTTTGTTCATAAATTACTTTCTACTTGGAAATAATTTTGCTTGGAGTTATAGTTTCTAGAAAAAGTATTGTCATCGAAAGAGTTGACATGTTGCAATGTACATTTAATATTATGTTACTTGATAAAATTGAGAATGGAAATGGGGAATAAGGTCAAAGAGACAACAACCCGACCAAAGAGCAGACAACAGCCGAAGGCCACCAATGGGTCTTCAAGGCAGCGAGAAAATCCTGCACCCAGAGGTGGTCCTCAGCTGGCCCCTAATTGAAATGTGTACAAGTTCAGTGATAATGGACTTCACACTGAACTCCAAAACATATAAATGAACTAAAATTCAAAAACATACAATACTAACAAAGGCCAGAGGCTCCTGACTTGGGACAGTCGCAAAAATGTGACTTGATGTTCTTACAATACACACAATACAGTGACTAAGCAATCATTATGAACTACTTCATAGGATGGAAGTCATTGAATATGCTAATATAATCAATAATAAAGAAAAGTCCATTTATATTTATAAGGAAAAGTTCTTTTATGTCTTCAAAGCATGAAAAATGCATACCATGGTGAGGTACAGAAAAACATATATATACGGTGATTATCACCATGGTTGAAATTTATTTTCTGAAGTAAAGGAAGACAATGTGTACCCCATTGTTAAATTTACATTGCATTTAAGATTAAAATAGATATCTTGAGATTGACTGTATGTTACCATAGTTTACAAATAAAATTAATATAACACATTATCCATATAAAGTGTATTTTATAATTATGCCACAATATCTATTATCATCAACCATGCCAAAATATATGCTTGGTATATCCAATATGTAATTTCACAGATACACACATATACTATCAGTATGTGCAAGTTAATTATATCAAAGTAACAGTCATACAAATTGCCCTTAAACATCAAAATCATTAAATGTACTGAGATTTAATACCAGCATTCTTGTTGGCATATATACTTTACCATGAGCTGTGTTGCATATACATGGCATATAAACAAGTGTTCACCATATTCTTAAAGCTGTTGAATCCAAGGATAGCAGGTAAATACCATCATACATATATAAAATGATAGATAGACAACGTCATCTATGCACGATAAGTTCAACAGGAGTATTCTACATAGTTCTATGCTACCAAATCAAAAGTTTATATAAAAGAAAGAAGTCAAAGGTTTCCCTTCATAGTTTAGTTACATATATTTTTATGCCCCCGCCGTAGCGGAGGGGGCATTAAGTTTTACCCTTGTCCGTCTGTACGTACGTACGTCCCAAAATTGGTTTCTGTTCTCTAACTCAACCAAATGTTATGAAACTTATACACAATGCTTATTACCACAAAACACAGATCAAGTTTGAATTTTGGTGGCGTCACTTTTACCGTTCTAGAGTTATGCCCCTTTACAAATGGAAAATAGCTGAATTTATCGTTTCCGTTCTCTAACTTTAGTTTGCCTCAACCAAATGTTATGAAACTTATACACAATGCTTATTACCACAAAACACAGATCAAGTTTGAATTTTGGTGGCGTCACTTTTACCGTTCTAGAGTTATGCCCCTTTACAAATGGAAAATAGCTGAATTTATCGTTTCCGTTCTCTAACTTTAGTTTGCCTCAACCAAATGTTATGAAACTTATACACAATGCTTATTACCACAAAACACAGATCAAGTTTGAATTTTGGTGGCGTCACTTTAACCGTTGTAGAGTTATGCCCCTTTAGAAATGGAAAAATTGCAAAATTTTTATTTTCTTCTAATTAAACTAGTAATTTTTAAAATTGGAGTTATCTTCCTTTATCCATGATTATAGTTGAATCAACTACAATCAATGCTTAATACAATGCAATGTTTAATTTTGACTTCCACTGATAAAACACAGATCAAGTTGAATTTGGGTAGTGTCACTTTAACCATTATTGAGTTATGCCCCTTTATAAATTGAAAGATTGCAAAATGTTTAGTTTCCATTCTGTAACTTAAGTTTGCCCCAACCAAACATTATGAAATCTATACACAATATTCATTACCACAAAACTAAGATCAAGTACAAATTTTTTGTTTCCGTTTTCTAACTTTAGTTTGTTAGTTCTGTTCTCTACTTAAGTTAGCCACAACCAAATGTTATGAGACTTACACACAATGCTTATTACCACAAAACTCAGATTAAGTTCAAATTTGGTTAGCGTCACTTTTACCGTTCTTCAGTTATGTCCCTGTATAACTATATGATATGCAAGCGGGGGCATCATCTGAGTCCACATGTGGCCACTATTAACATTTATTTTTTTGAACCTGAGGATGTTGAATGTAATGTTATGAAACTTATACACAATGCTTATTACCACAAAACACAGATCAAGTTTGAATTTTGGTGGCGTCACTTTTACCGTTCTAGAGTTATGCCCCTTTACAAATGGAAAATTGCTGAATTTATCGTTTCCGTTCTCTAACTTTAGTTTGCCTCAACCAAATGTTATGAAAATTATACACAATGATGCTTATTACCACAAAACACAGATCAGGTTTGAATTTTGGTGGCATCACTTAAACTGTTCTTGAGTTATGCCCCTTAATAAACTGTTCTTGAGTTATGCCCCTTAATAAATGGAAAAATTGCTGAATTTTTCGTTTCTGTTCTCTAACTTTAGTTTGCCTCAACCAAATGTTATGAAACTTATACACAATGCTTATTACCACAAAACACAGATCAAGTTTGAATTTTGGTGGCGTCACTTTAACAGTTGTAGAGTTATGCCCCTTTAGAAATGGAAAAATTGCAAAATTTTTATTTTCTTCTAATTAAACTAGTAATTTTTAAAATTGGAGTTATCTTCCTTTATCCATAATTATAGTTGAATCAACTACAATCAATGCTTAATACAATGCAATGTTTAATTTTGACTTCCACTGATAAAACACAGATCAAGTTGAATTTGGGTAGTGTCACTTTAACCATTATTGAGTTATGCCCCTTTATAAATTGAAAGATTGCAAAATGTTTAGTTTCCATTCTGTAACTTAAGTTTGCCCCAACCAAACATTATGAAATCTATACACAATATTCATTACCACAAAACTAAGATCAAGTACAAATTTTTTGTTTCTGTTTTCTAACTTTAGTTTGTTAGTTCTGTTCTCTACTTAAGTTAGCCTCAACCAAATGTTATGAAACTTATACACAATGCTTATTACCACAAAACTCAGATTAAGTTCAAATTTGGTTAGTGTCACTTTTACCGTTCTTCAGTTATGTCCCTGTATAACTATATGATATGCAAGCGGGGGCATCATCTGAGTCCACATGTGGACACTATTCACATTTATTTTTTTGTACCTGAGGATGTTGAATATAGATCATTATACAAATAAGGAGATATGGTATGATTGCCAATTAAACAACTATCATCCATGCTTACTAGTAACAAACCACATTTGCAAAGTTGAATAAAATACAGTTGATAACTGGTATTTATTCCTAAAAAGAAAATGCCCAACTATATCAAACAGAATTTGACTATAAACATAGATAAACAGGGTACAAACTGGACATAAAGCACTAGTTCATAAACAAATTAGAACAATCACCTTTATATAATGCTCAGAATATGACATTCATGAAACTTGTTCAATATCATAAGAGAACTATAAATCTTAAATCTTAATTACTGGAAGCCACCTCTCATAAGTACACTATACTATGCAAGATAATGATATAACTGGACTAAAATTACACACAACCTGTAATTAACTGCCTTTACAGCGCTTTCGCGCTTTGATATATTTTCTGTTCTATGCTTCCATCTGTTCATTCATTCATCCATCCATCAATTTATCCATTTGCCCATCTGTATGTTTTTGTTATTCATATTATTGTATTGGTGTCATTGTATATAGTCTATGACAATAAGTAGTTTTCCATGCTTATTGTAGGAATAGTATGGACACATTTTATTTTCTAGACATACATATTTTATTAATGCTTACTATTACATAAATAAAAAAAATTTAGTCTGACCTTTAATTAAATATATAAATTTCCAATAGAAGAACGTCTATTGAGTGGGATTTCCTTTATAAAAAAAACAATAGAAATGAAAAATGTTTTACTTGTCTTTCTGTGATATTTGAAACATGTTCTTTAGAAATACCAATATAGCTATCTCCAATTTATATCATATAAAATCTTTTGACTGTAGCTAGAAATAATAATCGTGATTACCGTAATCATGAAACAATTCAACAATGATTTTCAAATATCTGAATAATAATAATGTTTTCCATAAATTGACAACAATAACAAATAAATTACAAAAACAAACATTAGCTATCAGTAGTACATGACGATAAGTTGGGGTTAATAGAGATATTTTATACAGTTAACTGTAGATTTATTTCTAGGTAATGTTTAATTACGTAATCAAAAACAATTCAAATTTTCTTTTCATAGAAGTACCACATTGTGCACCTTCGGATGACCTGGAAGTTAGAAGATTTGTCTGTTTACCAGATTTTGTGTCTACTGGTGGTAAATGTACAGCGAACCAGCTCTGTCCTGGAATAGAAAATCTCTAGACAATCTAGGAATGTTGTGAAACTTCGGCATTAGAAAGACATATGTTTAATGAACTCTGGAAATCTGTAATGTAACAGTCACTGCCAATGTTATATATGTCAATTGATATTGTATAATCATGTCTGTCTATCATGTCTATGGTTCTTATAACAGCTGGTTTTATAAGTCAAATAATGACTAGATTTTGTCTTTGTTATAGCATGAGACCAGTGTATTGTTAGATTTGATTTTAGTGATCAAACTCAACAAGGTTGTTGCTCTACTTAGAAATCATCGTATTGAAAATGAGAAATGTGTTCTTTTTTGAGTGAAAATATATGGCTGGTTCAATAAGTCAGAACAATTTGCATTTTTTAATATGGCACATCAATAGCTTCTATACTTTTATTATCATATTGCTGTACTAACGAAAAAATTTTATAATTATAAGTTATAACACCTCTTTGCACATGAATTAAAACAATCATTATTCCTTTAATATTACTCATTTGTATAACAAATTTATTATGATAGGGAAGATGTACAGGGTAATATAATAATATCTTAAAAATGGTTAAATATTATCTAAAAGAAAATAAACTAAATATGTGCCAATTTGCTTATCGTTATAAACAAGAGTTCTACATTAAAAGGACACCATTGGAAATAAGGTGAAATGATTTAAGGGCAATCCTTTGAAAGATATCAAATTATAAGTGTATTTAAAGGCTTATTCAAATAATTTTAGCTAATATTTTTATGTTTCATATTTTTAACCACACTTGTAAATATTTGATATCATTCCAAAATGAATTTTACCTTTTACCTGATATGGTATTTTGCTAAAAAAAAACTTAACAGGCCTTAGCCCTTTTGTTTTATTAATTTTCAAATTATGACTGGATCTTCTGTTTATCATAGCATTATCAAGTAACCAAAGATCTTGTTGATGTACCTAAGGAAGATTATTAAGATATTTTTATACCCTCGCTTTAAAAATTGGGGGTAGACCGTTTTACCTCTGTCTGTCCGTCCGTCTTTCCGTCCATCCATCCATCCATCCATCTGACTGTCCGTCCGTCTGTCCGTCCGTCCCATGAATATTTTTCATCGCATTTTTCTCAGGAACTACATCATAAGGATTTATGAAATTTGGTTTCAAGGTTTATATACCGGTAAGTCAGCTATACCGTGTGATGCGTTTTCAGATTCATCACTCAACAACTTCCTGTTTACAGAACACTTACATCATTTTACACATGACATCCAAGTAGTTGAAAATTTTCGTCACATTTATCTCAGAAACTACATTACAAAGATTTCTGAAATTTCGTTTCAGGGTTTATATGAGTCAGCTATACTGTGTGATGCGTTTTCAGATTCATCACTCAACAACTTCCTGTTTACCCAAATATTTGGGCGGGGGTATCATCAGTGAGCAGTAGCTCGCAGTTTCACTTGTTTAATATTATATTTGATCTCATTTTATAAAAGTTTTCTAAACAATTTTTCATTGTCACTTCATCAATGTGAAAATGTTTGTGTCTTATTGCAATTTAAGAAAACCAAGTTTTATTTTTGTAATACAAATGTATAGCAATTAGGACATCATGATGACTATATACTGTAGTATTATTTGCCAAACAGTCCAAAATGTTTTAAAAAACTGATTTGTTAATGTTCTTTTTTTTAACCAATTATAGTGTCATCTCAAGCTTGTCTTTATTATATACTTTTGTCAACAATGTAACAGGTCAATCGGAAGTCCTTGCATGATTATTGCTATAGGGCAATCATTGGTCGACATTCATAGAAAACAAACACTGTAAAAAAAACAAAAAAAACAATGTAATGAGATATTTAGGACAGTGGAATCTAGAAATTCCATCACTTTCAGATTTTTTGTTTGTTCATATCAAATAAGTATACATCTTTTGTAAGACATAAGAACTAGTAATATAGCATGCAGCTGCACATCAAGAAAAAGGTCAGTAATCAGAGAAGAACGAGTCAATTCAATCTATTTTTAATGCAATAACAATGGTTTATATGAACATCAAGATTTATTTCTCTGGTGCTGTGTGATGAAGGATCCTCTAAACTTTGATTAAGGTACTTTTAGTATGCAAGTAGGTTTGCAACCAGATTATAATTGTAGATCAGTATGACCTACTTAGCATGCATTACTGGTTTTGCCCACTTTGATATCAAAGTTCATTCAGTTATTAATTTGGTGAAGTATGGCGTTGGTGGGCGGAGGGCGGGCGGCTACCAGGAGTTTCAGTGCAATAACTTATGAACCGTTCAACCAATGCCTTTCAAATTTTAATATTTTGTTAGTGATTACAAAATGGAGGTCATGTTCAATATTGATGATTTTCACTTTTATGGTTCAGGAGTTATGGTCCTTGATATATTTTGAAATTGCACTTTATGTCGTTTCTGTGTAATAATCTATGAACCGCTCAACCAATGCCTTTCAAATCTAATATGTTGTTAGTGATTACAAAATGGAGGTCATGTTCAATATTGATGATTTCACTTTTATGGTTCAGGAGTTATGGTCCTTGATATATTTTGAAATTGCACTTTATGTCGTTTCTGTGTAATAATCTATCAAACCGTTCAACCAATGCTTTTCAAATTTAATATGTTGTTAGTGATTACAAAATGGAGGTCAAGTTTGATATTGACAATTTTCACTTTTGCCGTTCAGGAGTTATGGTCCTTGATAGATTTTAAAATTGCACTTTATGTTGTTCCCGTGTAATAATCTATGAACCGTTCAACCAATGCTCTTCAAATTTTAATATGTTGTTACTGATGACAAAATGAAGGTCAATTTCAAATGAGGATTTACACTTTTGACGTTCAGGACTTATGGTCCTTGATAGATTGGAAAATAGGGACAGAAAGTGGCAAAAAAGCCTGAAAGTGCCTTTCAAAATACAGAAAACCCGGTTTGCTATCAATTTGACAGCTCATTCCTTGCTTAATTTACTTTGTTAATACTTGTACTTAATTGAAGACATTAGAACTTTGCACAAAGTAGTTGTAAGACTTACAACTGTGTAAATGTTATACATTGTTATGTTACCTGTCAGTCTTATGTGCTTTGTGAAACAATAGTCAAGTTGTCATCCACAAGTGGATTAAGTTATACCCACTTTATCTATTGTACTCCTTTTTTAGTAGAACAAGAACTTCCTTGAGTTTTGGAAATTATCCTGTTACATTGCTAACAATAAAAAAAATCATTCTTCTCTATCACTTAAGTTTATCAAGACAGAAAGCAAGTCAGGTATTTTTAAATATGGACTGACAGTTAAGCACCTATTATCCAGTACTGTTATATTAAGTCTGACAATCAGTGATTATACATTTGTATTTTTATAATTGTTTATTTTTATAACTTCAAAACTATCCAATTTATGTGGCCAGATTTAATTATGATATAGTATATTTACAATTGTTCAAAAGTACATTTTTAAAAGTCTTTCAAATTATTTATTATGAGCTTACCTTATTATCTGTTTACCTGATAAAATATTTTATAACCACTTTTGACCACCTTCTTTACATTTAGAAATATTATTCTGTATTTATGATATGCTTTAAATGGCTGCTGATTAAGAAAAGAATTTTATCTCAATAAAGCAGCTATAAAGCTGATCAGCAGAAAAAAACCAGTAACAACAGTAAAAATATGTTCTATTTGTTCTTAAACATTGTTTAGTTATATTGATGTGAAAAATTCTTTGATTCAAAGATTCTTGTCTATTAATGTTTAAGTATTTCCATGTGACAGTTATAAATGTTATTATTATTATATAAAATAACCAATAATTTTATGAGTTATGTATAATAATGGTGTAAACCTTTTATTATATTGCTGTATATGTTGTTACTGAAAAAGACAGGAAAATTATTAAAAATAAAATTTATTGTTGTAAGCAAACTGATGTTTTTTTTGCAAATAAGTTTTATTCTACTTTACATAAAATAATGAGATGTGGTATGATTGCCAATGAGACAACTTTCAAACAAAGTCCAAATGAAATGTATTTAAGCACTATATATCACTATTCAGCCTTCAACAATGAGCAAAACCAATTTTCTTGATTGCGACAGAATGCAAGACACAGTGCAGCTAACCAACCCCCCGAGGCATAAATTATCTATATATAGCCTTATATTTCTAAAGGTACAAGACCTGAATTATTCATAAATAGTATACAGATATAGTATGTTGTGAATTTTCCTTCTGGTATATGTCTATTTTCTTGGTTCGCTGACTGTTTAAAAAAATGAAAAGTTTTTTTTACACAGGATTTTAACACTAATTATGAGTATTAGGATAACTATATTTGGTTTATCAGTTTATACATGCAAGGTCTTCATGTCTGTAAGACAAGGTGCACATGACTTTGACCTCATTTCATGGTTCATTGCTCAATGTTAAGTTTGGTTTATATATTTCTCAAATACTATTAGCAAAAGGTCAACTAGATTTGGTGTATGGAATGATAGTATGAAGTCATGTCTGCCTGGCAGGGTTCATCTAACCTTGACCTCATTTCTATGGTTCATCGTTCAACATTAAGTTTTGGTGGTGAGGTCTGTTTCTCAAATAGTATATAAGTAGTTTGTCAACTATATATGATGCATGAATGATTATAAGGTGCATTTACATGTCCATCTGTCAGGGGTCTTCTGACCTTGATCTCATTTTCATAGTTCATTGGTCAATGTTAATTTTTCAAGGTAAGGTTCCTTTCTCAGATACTTGTATAAGTAAAAGGTCAACTATATTAGGTGTATGGATTTATTGCAAGGTTAACATGTTTGTCTAGCAGGGTTCCTTTAATATTGGCATCAGTTTCATGGTTCATTGCTCAATGATGTTTTTCTTGGTTAGATTCATTTCTCAGATACTATAACCAATAGATCATTAATATTTGGTGTATAGAATGATTGAAAGATTTACATGCATCTTGCAGAATTCATCTGACATTGACCTCATTTTCATGGTTCATTGGTCAAGGTAATGTTATGTTTATTTGATCCCTGTAGTAAGACATACTTGATATGAAAGAGAGTTAGACTCTAAATATAAAATTCAATAATATCTGTTAATAAGCTGCCAAGACATTTCAGCATGTAAAATTGAGAATGGAAACAGGGATGTGAAAATCAGGTGAAAATGCGCATGTTTGTCATATCATCATCTCATTTTGCAACAAGTTTCTTTCTCTATCAACATCAGCAATTTTCAAATACTCAGAAAACTAGGAGATTCACTTGTTGTCCAGTATCGAGTTGCAAGTTACAAAAGTCGAGTTGCGAGTTACGAAAGTCGAGTTGCGAGTTACGAAAGTCGAGTTGCGAGTTACGAATGTCGAGTTGCGAGTTACGAAAGTCGAGTTGCGAGTTACAGTTACAAAAGTCAAGTTGCGAGTTACAGTTACAAAAGTCGAGTTGCGAGTTACGAAAGTCGAGTTGTGAGTTACAAATGTCGAGTTGCGAGTTACGAAAGTCGAGTTGCGAGTTCCAAAAGTCGAGTTGCGAGTTACGAAAGTCGAGTTGGGAGGTACGAAAGTCGAGTTGCGAGTTACAAATGTTGAGTTGAGAGTTACGAAAGTCGAGTTGCGAGTAACAAAAGACGAGTTGCGAGTTACAAAATTAGATTTGCGTGAAAAGGGGGAAAACTATTTTAATTTTTTGGTGTACCTCTTTAACATTTTTGAATGATGACTGCTTATAGAATTGTATACAGTATTGCTGATTCTTTTTGTTGTTTGGACTTCATCTGAGTCTCGTGTAAAAAAAATGAATGGATTGCTTACATAATCACTACGCAAAGTATGGTTATTTTCTGAAGAAACAGATAGCCTTTACAGCGGATGGCTTGTATTCTAATTATTATTAAATTTCATAGCTAGCACCGTCATATTTAACGTAAAGGGAGATAGCAACTAAACTATATATAGTACATATATGTAAAAGACCCTTTCTGTAGATTTCGTTAAGAGTGGACTCTTTGTGGCAGCTGCAGAGGCAATATTTGTTAGGGACCCCAAAATTTATTCTTTGGCAGTGACACTCAAAATTATGGACGTTTAAGTTATATATGTCTACATTGGCTAGAGGTGAAGGGGGAAGGTGGAGCGCTCATAATACCTGTTTAACCCCGCCGCATGTTTGCGTCTGTCCTAAGTCAGGAACCTCTAGCCTTTGTTGGTCTTGTATATGTTTTAATTTTGGTTCATCTACATGTTTTGGAGCATAGAATGGCGTCCATATTCTTGATAAACTGTACATTGTGTTTCGGGGCTACCTCTGGGTGTGGGATTTCTCGCTGTGTTGAAGACCCATTGGTGGCCTTGGGTTGACTTGTATATTTTGGTTGGGTTGTTGTCTCTTTGACACATTCCCCGTTTCCATTCTTTATTCTATACATGTAGCTGTCAAAGATACTTTTGTAAAAGAGACAAAAGAAGCAGTATTGGAATATGTAACTTCCTTCTAAAAAACGGGTTAATAATAACCAATATATAGATAGGCACTGGCTACGGTTACATAGAAATTTAACAATAATATAAAAATTATTGTTACATTGGAGACTAATTGCCGGAATCCAGGGTTGGGTAAGGAACCGATTAATTACGAATGTAACAATAATATTTGGGTCTACAGTTACATTGCGTTATTGTTACATTAACGCACTGCAATGTACGATGGACCTAGTAATATGTATTAGAATAAAACTTGAAAACTTTTATTTGATATTTAAATATTGCATGCATACAATATTTAAATTTTTTATTTACAATGACAGTTTCTACAAATCCAGTATGTTGTTTTTTTTAGCATGTTTTAGTCCAACGCATTTTTGGTGAAACCACTTTAAGCAGCCATCACAAACCAGTGATACGGCAAATGTGCACGCTCTGTATTGCAATTCCATTCTGCACTTTCCCTTTTTGAAGTTAAAGAAAATTTCAATGTCTGCTATGCTTCAGGTGAAAAATATTTTTTTTACTCTTGCAATGTTTATATTTTTGCCCAATTTTTTGTTGGAAGCATGTGAGGTTGTTTAAATATAAGTCAATTGTGAAAGCAACTAATGTTGAAATTAGCCAACAGGTTGAAACTGGTGGAAACAGTGTTTTCATTTTCAGAGTCCAGATATTTTGTGATCGTAATTTCGTTCTTAATGGTGACAGTAAATGCTCTATTGAACAGTTCATTAAGTATTCGTCAATAGTGCCATTGTACTAAACTATAGTAGTTTCTTTAACAACATCAAAACAATCAATACTTAAAAATTTGTTGAATAATAATATGATTATTACTATTATTATCTCGTACATATCGAAGAATTAAGCAACAAAACTATAGAAGGTTTAAGTTTAACAAATCTAGCGTACATTGCAGTCTTTAATGTAACAATAACGCAATGTAACCGTAGACCCAAATATTATTGTTACATTCGTAATTAATCGTTTCCTTACCCAACCCTACATTCCGGCAATTAGTATCTAATGTAACAATAATTTTTATATTATTGTTACATTTCCATGTAACCGTAGCCAGTGCCATATAAATAAGAAGATGTGGTATGATTGCCAATGAGACAACTCTCCACAAGAGACCAAATGACACAGAAATTAACAACTATTGGTCACCGTAAGGCCTTCAACAATGAGCAAAGTCCATACCGCACAGTCAGCTATAAAAGGCCCCGAAATGACAAAGCAGAGACATATATACATATGTGTATATATGTCTCTGGACAAAGTAAAACAATTCAAACAAGAAAACTAACGGCCTAATTTATGTACAAAAAATGAACGAAAAACAAATATGTAGCACATAAACAAACGACAACCACTGAATTACAGGCTCCTGACTTGGGACAGGCACATACATACAGAATGTGGCGGGGTTAAACATGTTAGCGGGATCCCAACCCTCCCCCTAACCTGGGACAGTGGTGTAACAGTACATTTTTTTCAAATATTTCCAGAAATAAAACACCAAATGGGTTTTGTTTTCATTAAAATCCGAACAATTTATTAGAAACTTAATGTCAATATATATATTTTCTCCTAATTTTCAGTAGAAATAATCTTTAAATTTATTCACTTCCATTTTAGACAATTTTTTTCTCAAGGATTCAGAATCAAACAAGTCTTTAAAAAAAACCTACTTCCATTCAATGTTATCATTTCCCTCCTAAAGTAGCAAACGACGAGTACAGCAGGCTATAGAAGCTTGATGTAAAATTGGTTTAAAATGTTGCTATGCGAATAAATTCCTGGAGTACCAACTTCAATTTTTTTTCTACTGGCTGTATACCTTTCTGGAACATGCTAATTATCCGAATATATATACAGCTAGATCCGAGAAAGTCAGGGAAAAAATTCCAAAGGAATCGATTGATATGCAGCAAAGATTGACACTTTTGAAATTAAGTTACTAAGCAAATTCAAACGGACCTTATCTCGATGTAAACATCAAGAAGACCGCAAATACATGTACAAAAATCGAGACGACCTTTTCTTAAAATTGTATAAAAATAGAAGAAAGATACCTACTTTATAAAAATAGTTATCTTTAATTTCTTAACCTGCACAGAAAGACTTTTAAATTTTTAAATTCACAAAAAGACAATATTTCTCTACTGAATGTGCATGTGACAAGAGCAGACCGGTGTGCTCGATAACTTAGGTGTGAAAAAATAAGTATACTTTGGGAACTTGTAACATGCTAAGGACTTTTTGGAACACTCAGAAAATTGGTGACCCGAAAGATCTTTAGATTTTGCATGTTCATGATTTTTTCCAATTTTTTTCATCAATATGCAGCAAAGATTGGCAGTTTCACAAGCTTCTAATGCAATTATCTCGATAAATACTGAACATAAAACATCGTGTATTTGCATGTATATTTCTTA